TAAACTTTAAATCTAGATAAGCTCTAGATATGTAGAAGTAACAAAAAAGACATGAGAAGAAAAAAATATATCATTAGAGGGCACTTTTGAAAACTTAGAAGAAAGTCTATTCTCAGAGACTGATAACCAGGGCTAATTCTTAAGAGGAATAAATTGTCAGTTGTTTATTTAAAGTGACTAATTATTAAACTGAATGTCTGAGAGAGGACATTTATTGGTAGGGAAAAAAGTCTGTAAGATCTTAAAACCTCCATTTAAATAATCTCTAAATAAAGTTTGATGTTTTGATCAGTGAATACAAGTTGTAAAAATATACACAGAGTATCTGTGATTTTTCACTAGCTATATTTGGTGCTGCTTTTAAATACATTTTGTTTTAAAAATCCTATATATATCCGATCAAATTAAACAAATGATTAATGTTCTCTAATATGAGTACTTTTTTCCTCAGTTATAGTTGAATGTTATTAGACAACATTTTGAAAACCATAAGATGACAGGATATAAATTCCTGTGTTTGTGGGTCATGCTAATTTTAAACACTTTTCTGAAAAATATACTTTTCCCATAATTGGCATGAGAAATAAGATGTTTAAAATTGTTTCAGAAATAAAAAGTGTGACCTGGAAGAATTTCAGTTGGGGAAATATGATGTTTTTGACAAAGAAAACAAAATGGGGATAAAGGGAAGTTGGATAACAGGTACCAAGTAGATAGAAAGAGTAAGTTGCAATGTACCACAACAGTACGGTGACTAGTTATAATAATTTATCATATATTTTATAAGAACTAGATTAGAAGGTTCAAAGATTCCAACACAAAAAAATGATAAATGTGCAAGAAAATGAAAATGCTAACGACTCTGCTAATTATTTACTGTACCCATATTTATAGTAATTATGTGTTAATTATTTTTTTAATTTAAAAAAGATAAAGTTGTTACTTATTGCTGGTAATCTAAATAAAAATATCTATTGAGCTGATAAAATGAATGGAAGTCAGTAAAATAATTTCATAAGTAGAAGCTTAGTGTGACGAACTGGGTCCCCCTGGCTCACACCTGTAATCCTAGCTACTTGGAAGGCTGAGATCATGAGGATCCGGCTCAAAGTCACCTAGGGCAAGCACTTCATGAGACCCCAGGCAAAATGGGCTGGAGATGCAGCTCAAGTGGTACAGTGCCTATTTTGCTAGCACAAAGCCCTTAGTTCATACCCCAGTTCCACCAAAAAAAACCCAAAACAACAAAAACCTGTGAAGCGTTTAAGATTTTGCTGTATTTACAGCTAATGCTGATGACTAGGCTGCCATGGTTTCATGGGTGCCAAAAGAAGGAACTAGACTCTTGGGTTGGAGACAAAAGATTTTATTACTGAGAGCAGTAACGGTGGGTACAATACCATCATTCTCTCCCACTGGTAACCTGAGCGTAATTCCCACAAAATGATACAAAGAGGTAACAAACAGTGTAGTGGGTCCCATTGCAGGAGAGGAGCCCTGAGCTCAGGGAGCCCAAACCTTTCACAGGGATCCACAGGCCTTATCCTCCAAAGTCACGAGAAAAGATGAGCATCAATAATCCAAAAATAGGAAATTTGAAATGGCCCAAAACCCAAAATTTCCAAGCACCAACATGATTCTACATGTCAAAAATTCCACACCATAAAACTTTGATTCTTGAACTGAACTATTCAAAAACATTATATTAAATTACCTTCAGGCCACGTGCATAAGGTTTATAAGAAATGTAAATGGATTTTCAGTTTAAACTCGAGCTACATACCCAGGATATCTCATTATGTGTGTACAAATACTCCAAAATGAAAAAAAAAATCCCAAATTCAAAACACTTCCAGTCCCAGGCATTCCAAATAAAGACTACTCACCTTACAGATACCCTTGAAAAGATACCTTTGTTCCAAAAAAGCAGTCAGTGTTTCTGTTCCAAGATATAAAAAAACAGACAGAATTGCCTTCCAGTCCTCACTCTGCATAATCCTGTCATCTGAAATTGTTTACTAGCATTAAATTGTTAGGTAACTGATGTGGGAATGTATATGAATCAGATTTGCCATACTTTTAAAGTCACTTTGGATGAATTACTCAAATTTTTCAGATCATGTAGTATTTTCTATGTGACCTTACCTGTCTAAACCTCTTAACTCATTTTTCTTTGGGGGGGCAGTACTAGAGTTTGAACTCAGGGCCTTGTGCTTGCTAGCTGGTGCTCTGTTGCCTGAGATACACCCCTAACCCTTTTTGTGTTGTTTATATTTGACAAAGCATCGTGAGTTTTTTTGCCAGGGCCAGCCTAGACGAAGTTCCTCTTACTTATGCTTCCCTTGTATCTGGGATGACAGGCATACCCTACTATGCCTAACTCTTTTTTTGTTGTTGATGAAAGGAAGCCATGCTCTTTTGCCTGGGCTGGGCTCAAGCCTCAGTCTCCTGATCTCTATCTCTGGATTAGCTGAGATTATAGGTATAAACTACCATGCCCAGCCTGTTGACTTTTCTTTTAAGATGAAAAAAACCAATCATGCCTACAATCACAGGGCTACTAATAGCATTAGATGAGATAATACATGCAATTCATTTAAAAGTGTGCCAAAAAGCTCATGTTGGTACACAACAAAATTTGTTAATATTATTAATTCAGCTAATCAAAGTTCTTCACAGGAGCAGTTAAGGGTGCTGGGGAAATTCCTACCCATCATGACTAGCTATTTATCCAATTGTGGAGCTGGCCTAAATATCCTGGGCTCAGTGGTGCTGCCCTTACGTGGCTCTAGGAAAAATCCGCCCGAGCATCTCACACGCAAGTGCTCCCAGAGCGTGTTTGCTCTGTACCCTAATAAGATCAGAAAACCAAATTCTAACCATTTCTTTCTTTCGGGGGCAGTACTTGCTGGGCAGGTGCTTTCACACTTGAGTCGTGCCTGAGCCCTTTTGGCTTTAGTTTATTTTTCGGATAGCATTTCATGCTTTTGCTCAGCCGACCTCAGCCCATGATCCTCTTACCTCCACCTTCTACCTAGCTGGAATTACAGATGTTCACCACCTCATCCAGCTTGTTTTTGAGATAGGCTCTCTATCATTTGTTTGCCAGGCTTGTCTTGAACTGTGATCCTCCCATCTCCACTTCCTGAGTATCTGGGACTATGAACTGCATCACCACACTCAAATTCTAACCATGTTTAAGAACTTAAAAAATCGTCTCACCTATTCTACTCTCCAGAGGTGAAGTTTTGGAGATGATACTACAAAGAGAAATAAACTAAATATGTTTTGTTGTACTAAAATAATAAATATTTATAAACGTATTATTAAATGTTTAGGAAATGTCAAATGCTATTCAGATTTTCATCTCTATTAGTTCAGGTAGAAGGGGAGAAGAGAGAGGAAAGCAGGTGGTGAGCTGAGCTCCCATCCAGTTCAGTCCACCTGGCCCTTGTTTGTTTAGAACAAATTAACTGAGTTTTAATTTTGATCCATACAGCCATCTCTTGTTGATATAACCCTTCTCTACTATTAGTAATGTACACCAACTTCCCTTGTATTTCCATTACAATCACCTGAATATCTGAGGGAGAGATTGTTTAAAGAAATTTAAGGAGGCCTAGTCTCCTGTACTGCTTACTGGCTGGGAAGAAGAGTTTCGTGTTCAATCACAGAATCATTGTCCATTTGTAGAGTTAAGGGATCACCTATCTGAACCCCTCAGAAAACTGAAGTCCACAGAGATCATCTGATTTGCCTAAGATCTTACATCTAGTTAGGAGCATAAACTAAATGTCAAATGTCTTAGTTCTCAGTCAAGTTTTCTTTCAATTACAATGCAATTAAGAGGCAGAGATGGGGAAATAATAAATTATTATAGCTTTTTGAGAGACACTACACATGATGAAAGTTTGGGCTCTGCAGTCAGATCCAACTGAATTTGTGTCTTTTTTTTTTTTCCTGTGAGAAAAAAATATACCAAATTATCAGAGGAAGTAAAGACTTTCACTAGCATTGACATATAAGAGACTTTCCTACCTCGGGGCTTCCTAAGGGGAAACTGAGGCCTTGACAATATCGCTACATAAGTGGGCAGTACTGCGTGATCCACAGTTATTTATAAGATCTTTGATGAAAGTCAGTGATAAATGCCAAAGTGTAACTCAATGAAAATACTCTGCGGGAGATTAAGGCCAAAGTTTTAAATAATTTTCCAGACGTTGTCTGGTTTGTTCTGCAAGTGGGAACCCAAACCCAGTTTCTAATGTTGTAGAACTTTATATGTACATGTTGTGTTGAAGAGGCTGGGAGTCCGTAACAATCAGACAACAATAAATAACTCACTTTAAGATTTGGGACAAATTGCTTTACCTATGAGGGAGCCGAACTTTATAATCTCTAAAAAAATCTCAGATTTATGAAAATATCATCTTGAAATAAACATATAGCATATAAAATTCTTAGTCAAAATTTAAGGAAGAATTTTTTAAACTGTGATGGCAATTTTCTGTCTTTCAAGGGGCCTCTGTGACTTAAGTTGGAAGTAGTAGTGATAATAAGCGATTAGTAAACCGACTGCTGAGCAATAATTCCAAACAGCTAGTGTTATAACATTGAAAGGACCGACCCTCAATGACCAGGTCAAGCTCTGAGACACTGACAGGACATTATCAGTAATGATCATATAGGTGTCTGTCGTATGATGTGGGGATTTTCTCTGTAAATAAATACCCAGGGAAGTTAATGCAACAAAATTCCTTTCATTTCAAAGTCTCTTTAATATCTGAAGTTCTGGCAAATTCATTTTCAACATCATAAAATGTTTGAAGAAAAAAAAACACATACAGAATGCTCAAGATTATGTGCTTACATCCAAGATTTGTACTACATCTCTCAAGTTTCTGTCAAAACCAAAAGTGTTACTTAAACTTTTAAGAAGCTTCCAACCTGCTTAAGTATCTGCCTGCAGAGCTGACTTCAGTCATCATTTCTGTGCCCAGGATGGTGCTACTTCTCTGGTGCCTGCTGTGGCTGCTGTTACCACTCAGCTCCAGGACCCAGAAGCTACCCACTCGAGATGAGGAACTTTTCCAGATACAGATCCGGGACAAGGCATTTTTTCATGATTCATCGGTCATTCCAGATGGAGCTGAAATTAGCAGTTATCTCTTTAGAGATACACCTAAAAGGTACTCTCCATGTTATATGTTACTATCAATAAGCTCAAATAAGGTGACTCTGAAAAAGAAAGTAACCTCTCAAATGTAATTTCAAGAATTTAACAATCATTCTATGAAAAGCACTATGTATTTGCTCTAAGAAAAAAAACATGGCAATGTAACCTCTAGCCATGAACTGAGGCCATTTAATTCTTACTGTGATCTCCTTTTGGGTGAAGAGGCAATCCTAGCATTGCTTACATTTTGGAATGATTATTTTCATACTTTTAGGACAGTAGGAATTTTGTAAGAAGGATTTGGATTAAAGTGAAATTACATGACTATGTATGATTCTTCAAGGGCTTACATTAAGTTTTATAAGAATAATATTTATCAAATATGATCAGAGTCTGAAAGAATCAAATCAGTGACAAAAACAAACACTGTTTATTTTCTTATTCCAACATTACCCAGTTGGGTTCACAGAACATTTTTTAATGTTTTGGTCTTTAAAAGTTGCATATACATGTCATATAGATAATCTATATTATAAGCTAATTATACTTAAAGTTACTTATTTCATCACACTCTAATCTCTCTCTACCTTGCATAGTTAAACTTTGGATAATTATGTTTCAAAACCAATTTTTTCTTTTAATGCATTCCACTTTCCAACGATTGAGGTGTGGCAGATCCTTAGGTCATCCGTTCCAGTTGATGGGCAGTAGCAATGGAAGGTGGTACTCCAAACCCCTCTGCTTAATGACCCTGTACTGTTTTTGCTCTATTTCCTATTGTGACTGAGGTGAAGTCTTATGTAGATATCATTTCAGTAATGACTGAGTGAAATGATTTGTTTGAATGAATTCAATGGGCTAGGAACTGAGTTTATAAAAAGAATTATGAACTTTTAAATTTTAAATGATACTCATAACAGTGGAAGCACAAAGTGTGGGAATGGTTATGAGGAACTTGCTATCCCAGTCCTTGCTTGCAAAAGCTCAATGTGTGAAAATAGGAAAGGATAACCAGGCAGTAGAACACTCAGTTAATCTTCAATATTAACTGACTTCTCACTGAACCCAGTTTGCTTTTCATATTATTTTGTCCATCAAAATTTTTGAATGACTCAGATCAAATCAAAATTCTCTTTAGGAATTACTTTCATTTCCCAAATGTGCTTTGCATTATTCTTTAAACATACATTCCACATTATATAATCATATCACTTAATCAAATAGTTTATCTTCTTTGGTGTTCCAGTCTCGTAAAAACTAATAAATTTTATTTCTAAGAGTGGTACTAAAAATTACATTATCCGTGCTCTTAGGCAGGCATGGTGCCATATGCCTGGAGTCTCAGCATTCAGGAGGATGAGGCAGCCTAGACTACACAGGGAGACCCTATCTCGACAAACAAAACTTACATTTTTTTTCTTCTTTCTTTCTTTTTTTTGTTTGTTTGTTTTTGTGGTAGTAGGGTTTGAACTCAGGGCTTTGAGCTTGCCAAGCAAGAGCTAATGCTTAAGCCATATCTTCTGAATTTTTGCTCCACTTATTTTGGAGATAGGATCTTGCTCTTTTGTCCTCGTTGTACTGGATCACAATCCTCCTATTTTACACTTCCCAACAAACCTGAGATAACAGGACCGCACCACCACACCCAGCTATTTTCCTTTGAGGTGGAGTCTCATGAAGCTTTTTTGCCCAGACTGGCCTAAACCTATGGTCTTCCCTGTCTCAGCCTCCCAACGCAGCTTGGGATGACAGGCACATGCCATGGTGCCCAGTAATTGGTTGAGATGGTGTCTCACTAGATTTTTGCCAGAGCTGACCTCAAACCATGATCTTCCCAATACCAGCTTCCCAAGTTGCTAAGATTATAGGCATGAACCACCAGCACCCAGCTTGTTTCTTTAAGATAGCATGTTTTAAGGTTGGGAATGCGGCTCAAGTGGTAGAGTGCTAAGTTCAAACTACTAAAAACTGAGATAAAATAAAATGCCATTTTGATTATGAGACATCACACAATAGTCAATACTTCCTCCTTCTATCTTTCCCTTGTTATTTCTTTCCTTTGCTCGTTGTTGGCCATCTGTTGTTATCCACAACTGAGTGAAATGTTTACTTACACTAGTTAGATAAAGAGTTGTAGCCATAATAGAACCATAATTTGGGGAGCGGGGATTCGTGATGATAAGCACACATGACCATTGTTGATAGTCCACACAGGATGAAGTTTCAGATAATGTTTGGTAGTAGGAATAAAAAAGAGAAAATTCATTAATTATTCTTTTGCTTATCCACAACTTGAAAGGTTAAATGATTTTTGGACATTCATTTTTCCACCTCACCAAACAGTAACTGTCAGCACACGTGGATCACGTCCTACCAACTCTGATTGCCATTCTCTTCAACATATGCTTCGTGCATGGTAGACAATAAATGCTTGTCAAATTGTTAAATGTATTCAAGTTATCATTTATCCCTAATCCTAAATGCTTCCATATGAAAATGTTGAATAAGAGGCTTCTGACTGCTTTACATGCACAATGATTACCTTGTGGGTGCAGGCATCATTTTACTTTGTTAGTGGCCTACGCCCCACATTTAAGTTACTAAGACCCAGTTGCTTACTTGGGAAAACAAACTACCTACTTGCTTGAAAGGAGAACAGAAGTTAGCAGATGAGCTTGTCCATTGTTTTCTGCTTTGACATTACCTTCCCACTCTATTCACGTAGAACCCTCAAACAGACAAGGCATTTTGAATACTATTTTACTTACATAATTCCAAATAAATTATGTTGTTGCATCTCTTTCTTGTAGCACAGATAGGTTCTGAGTGTTTATGTGGTTAATGTTGCCCCATTCAACCTAGCCAAGGGAAGAAAAGCGTCTGCTCTCCCGAGCAGACTGAATTAAGAGTTAAGACTTTTGACAATTCTCTTTAAGGATGGTTGTGGCACATAAAACTTTCCACGGAGTAAAGAGTTCAGTTATCCAGTTATTTTTTGCAAGTGATTATCGGCTATTATGAAAAGGCTGCTTTTTTGTAGGGTGTTTTATTTTGTCCTCTCATTGTCCTTTCCCCCACCATCTCCAAATTCATTTTTGAATGGTAAAAGGAAAAAATTCTTCATGTTTTCTATTAGATAGAAACAAACTCTAGATGTACATATCTTCAGGCTAGGCTAATACGATGGATATTAGGATTCATTAGTTCAGATCATTAGGAATTCATACATTTGAAAATGTCTATCAAGTGCCTACCATACGAAGAGATCTGTAGTAAGTGCTGGGAATATAATGAAATGGAAAGGAATCCTGGTGTGCCCTTGTGGGGAAAATGACATCAATCAAACACTCATACACATACATAATCACAAATTGCAGTAAGAGAGTCTAAGCCATAATGAGTCAGAAAAGGCTTCTCTGAAGAAGTGACATTTAAATATGAGTAGGGGTGAAGTGGTGAACTACAGACAGAGAAAACCACATGCCAAAACTGAAAGATATGGTGCAGTTTGGGAAACTAGAGAACTCATGTGGCTAAATCACACAAAGCCACAGTGACAGGGACAGAGCCTGGTGAAAGAGGCAGGGCTCCTTATTGAGGAACTTCAGATAATGTGAACTTTTTTTTTTCTTTTATTCATATGTGCATACAATATTTGGGTCATTTCTTCCCCCTTCCCCCCCGCCCCCTACTTCTTCCCCTTACCCCCTCGCTACCAGGCAGAAACTATTTTGCCCTTATCTCTAATTTTGTTGAAGAGAGAGTATAAGCAATAATAAGAAGGACCAGGGTTTTTGCTAGTTGAGATAAGGATAGCTATACAGGGAGTTGACTAGCATTGATTTCCTGTGCATGTGTGTTACCTTCTAGGTTAATCCTTCTTGATCTAACCTTTTCTCTAGTTCCTGGTCCCCTTCACCTAATGGCCTCAGTTGCTTTAAAGAATCTGCTTTAGTTTCTCTGTGTTGAGGGCAACAAATAAATGCTATCTAGTTTTTTAGGTGTCTTACCTATCCTCATACCTCCCTTGTGTGCTCTTGCTTTATCATGTGATCAAAGTCCAATCCCCTTGTTGTGTTTGCCCTTGATCTAATGTCCGCATAGGAGGAAGAACATACAATTTTTTGTCTTTTGGGCCAGGCTAACCTCGCTCAGAATGATGTTCTCCAGTTCCATCCGTTTACTTGTGAATGATAAGATTTCATTCTTCTTCATGGCTGCATAAAATTCCATTGTGTATAAATACCACACTTTCTTGGCTGTTTCCATAATTTGGCTGTTGTGAATAGTGCTGCAATAAACATGGGGGTGCAGGTGCCTCTGGAGTAACCTGTGTCACAGTCTTTTGGGTATATCCCCAAGAGTGGTTTGCTGGATCATATGGTAGATCTATGTTTAGATTTTTAAGAAGCCTCCAAATTATTTTCCAGAGTGGTTGTACTAGTTTGCATTCCCACCAGCAGTGTATAAGGGTTCCTTTTTCCCCTGCATCCTCGCCAACACCTGTTGTTAGTGGAGTTGCTAATGATGGCTATTCTAACAGAGGTAAGGTGGAATCTTAGTGTGGTTTTAATTTGCATTTCCTTTATGGTTAGAGATGGTGAGCATTTTTTCATGTGTGTTTTGGCCATGTGAATTTCTCCTTTTGAGAAAGTTCTGTTTAGTTCACTTGCCCATTTCTTTATTGGTTCATTAGTTTTGGGAGAATTTAGTTTTTTGAGTTCCCTATATATTCTGGTTATCAGTCCTTTGTCTGATGTGTAGCTGGCAAATATTTTCTCCCACTCTGTGGGTGGTCTCTTCAGTTTAGAGATCATTTGTTTTGTTGAACAGAAGCATTTTAGTTTTATGAAGTCTCATTTATCTATGCTATCTCTTAGTTGCTGAGCTGCTGGGGTTCCATTGAGAAAGTCCTTGCCTATACCTATTAGTTCCAAAGTATTTCTACTCTTTCCTGTACCAACTTTAGGGTTTGGGGGTTTCATATTAAGATCCTTGATCCCTTTTGAGTTAATACAATGCAAACATTTAAGGGCTTTCCCCCCAAGGCTAAAATCTGAAGGTGTCAAGAAGCCCTATGCTAAGGTAGCATAATCGATTTTCAGTACTTTGGGCAGTATTAGTGCTTGAACTTAGGACCTCATGCTTGGTATGTAGGTATTCTACCACTTAAGCCACAAACCCAGTCTTTTTTTGCTTTGGTTATGGGTCTCTCATCTTAACAGTGGTTATGCTTTTTGAGTAGCTGGAATCATACCACCATGCCCAGCTTGTTTATTGAGATGGGGTCTCACTAACTTTTTGCCTGGACTAGCCTTTAACCATGATCCTCCTCACCTCTGCCTCCTGAATTGGTAGGATTATAAGCACGAGCTACCACACCCAGCCCAGTATAGTAAATCTATACTTCTTAAAGAGCGCAATGTAAAAAGTGACTTGGATGTAGTAAAATGATCTGGGGGTGGATATGTGGGGAAAAGCAATTCATTAGTCACTCAAATGAATTTTATCAAGAATTATTTAGTCTTTAAGTCTACATCAATGACCCAAATGGCTCACCCTCTTGAAATTCTGTCTTAACATCAGCTTACTTAATTCAACAGGAAATCATAGGGATAAATTAAAAATAGAGAAATGTGTCTTTCCAGTGACCGACACAGGGAACTTTACTTTTAAAAAAAATGTTTCTCAAGTGATTATTAGAATCTCTTATCCAAAAAGGCATGGAAGAGCAAAGCTGTAAACAGCAGTCACTAATATGAAAACAAGAAGATGGTGTTATCTTGCCAGACCTGCATGCATGTTAGAACTAGGTTGCTATGCAAATGACCTTTGTCTGATTGCCTTTGGGGGATTGGATAAAGTTATTACCAAACATATGGAAAACACAGCACATATAGAGCTGTTTACCTGGAAATTCTTGACTGTGACTTACATTGTAGTGGCAGGCCTGTCTGTGTTCAATAACAGACATGGGTAAGAGTTGATTTTTAACACAAAATAATTCTGTTTCAATGCCTTTTTGCTATTTCTTACCATATTTGTTGAAGGTAAATCTGTTTGCAGAACTTTGGAACTATGGATTTCCACAGTTGTTTTGTGTCAAACAGTCAGTTTTATTGTATTAAGTGAATAAAAATGAAAAACAAATGATTTTTCCAATAGGTGTTGATTGTCAGTGTTAGAATGATCATAGTCTAAATTGGTTCACCTCCTCCTAGGTATTTCTTTGTGGTTGAAGAAGATAATACTCCATTATCAGTCACAGTGACTCCCTGTGATGCACCTTTGGAGTGGAAACTGAGTCTCCAAGAGCTGCCTGAGGAGACTAGTGCAGAAGGCTCAGGTAAGGAGCAGGATGGGTATGGCCCCAGACTTCTGAAAGATTGAAAGACTTAGGAAACATACAACCTGCAAGTAAGAAAAAAAAAAAAAAAACAGCATGGCTTCACAGGTGAAGTGGAGACTCTGGGACAAAGAGATGGCATGAGGTGACATTTATCTTGGTAAAACAAAAGTTAGAGGAGATAGGAAGGGTATGAAGGTGAGGGATTTGGACCAGCTTCTATGGCTGTCATTTGCAATCTTGTTAACCATTCGTATTACCTGGGGGACTTTAAAAACTTCTGGTACCTGGATTTTGCCCTCCGAGTTTCTGATTTAATGGCTGAGAGGTCTGACCTGGGCACTGGATTTCTAAACGCTCTCCCTAGGTGACGCTAATACTTGGCCACGGGTAACATCTTGATTTCTAGGGAATAAAGGGCAAAGACAAACTAAGGAGCTGAGAGGCATTGAGTAAGAGTCAAAGGCTAAGATGAACAGAAACTTGGTAGGAGGAATGGGCTAGGCACTTAAAGAAGATGCAGAAAATAAAAAGCAGTAACAAGATACAAGTAAATGAGAAGAGTCTGTATGCAGACCATAAAGAGATGCTGTTCCTTTTAAGGGCAACATAGCTTAAGGGTACAACTTTGGCAACTGATGTCACAGCAAAGGATGCTTGTATTCTGTAGTACCAAGAAAATATTGGAAGGGCATATGGAGAGTGATGAGACTTAGAATAGTAAATAAACTCTAATATTTATTTAGCCATTTGATAATTGTGTTCATCCCATGGTTTGGGAACCTGCAGAGATAAGCTGGAGGTGTTTGTTCCCACTTAGATTATCCAGTTCTTCTCTAGGTCCTAGAAATGCATCTATACAAATATTTGTGTGATATGATGTTAACAGTAAGAAAAGATGGGAAAATTTGTTTGCAATACTTCCTCTGTATTATTTCTGTGCACATATTCTAGACATTGAAGCTTAGGTACCCTTACTAGTGCGTTATAGTCTGAATTTTAATCAGATTGGGCAGGACTGGTAACAATTAGTGAAATAGCTGACCAACAGAATACTCAAAAAGTAGAGGCTTATACATATGTACATGAAAATAAAAGTTTAGCTCAGAGAAAAATGAGTGAAAATAGCATCAAATGGACAAAAATGTGTAAGGGAAAAGATTGGTTGGAAAGAAACCAAAGTAGTACTAAAGGACTGCCTCTGCATAGTGAATTCATGGGTGATTTTTTTATCTTGTTATTTTTCCTGTGTCACAGCTTTCTGTAATGAACATGTCTTGTCTTAAAAATGGAGAAAATGTAAACTCAAAAACCCAGTGTAAGGGTGATAAACAACAGTGACGAGCAGCCTGTGCTTCTCTCGTACCTTCCAGGTGACCCCGAACCACTAGAGCAGCAGAAGCAGCAGATCATTAATGAGGAAGGCACAGAGCTCTTCTCCTATAGGGGCAATGACGTTGAGTATTTCGTGTCTTCTAGTTCTCCATCTGGCTTATATCAGTTGGAGCTTCTTTCAACGGAGAAAGACACACATTTCAAAGTATATGCCACCACCACTCCAGAGTCTGATCAGCCATACCCTGAATTACCCTATGACCCCAGAGTAGATGTGACTTCCCTGGGACGCACCACTATTACTTTGGCCTGGAAGCCAAGCCCCACAGCCTCTTTGCTCAAACAACCCATCCAGTACTGCGTGGTCATCAACAAGGAGCACAATTTCAAAAGTCTCTGCGCAGTGGAAGCAAAACTGAGTGCGGACGATGCTTTCATGATGGCACCAAAACCTGGTCTGGATTTCAGCCCCTTTGACTTTGCCCATTTTGGATTTCCTTCAGATAATTTGGGTAAAGAACGCAGCTTCTTAGCAAAGCCTTCTCCAAAACTGGGGCGTCATGTCTACTCGAGGCCCAAGGTTGACATTCAGAAAATCTGCATAGGAAATAAGAATATCTTCACTGTCTCAGATCTGAAACCTGACACACAATACTACTTTGATGTCTTTGTGGTAAACACCAACAGCAACATGAGCACTGCTTATGTAGGCACCTTTGCCAGGACCAAAGAAGAAGCAAAACAGAAGACAGTAGAGCTCAAAGATGGGAAAGTTACAGATGTATTTGTTAAAAGGAAGGGAGTAAAGTTTCTACGGTTTGCTCCAGTCTCTTCTCACCAAAAAGTCACCTTCTTTATTCACTCTTGTTTGGATGCTGTCCAAATTCAAGTGAGAAGAGATGGGAAACTTTTTCTGTCTCACAGTGTGGAAGGCATTCGGCAGTTTCAGGTAAGAGGAAAACCTAAAGCAAAATATCTCATTCGACTGAAAGGAAACAAGAAAGGAGCATCCATGTTGAAAATACTGGCTACCACCAGGCCTAGTAAGCAGTCATTTCCCTCTCTTCCCGAAGACACAAGAATCAAAGCTTTTGACAAACTTCGTACCTGTTCTTCAGCCACAGTGGCTTGGCTAGGTACCCAGGAAAGGAACAAGTTTTGCATCTATAAAAAAGAAGTAGATGATAACTACAACGAAGACCAGAAGAAAAGAGAGCAAAACCAATGCCTAGGCCCAGATACAAGGAAGAAATCAGAAAAGGTTCTTTGTAAATATTTCCACAGTCAAAACCTGCAGAAAGCAGTGACCACAGAAACCATTAAAGGTCTTCAGCCAGGCAAATCTTACCTATTGGATGTTTATGTTATAGGACATGGAGGACACTCTGTGAAGTATCAGAGCAAAGTTGTGAAAACCAGAAAGTTCTGTTAGTTGCCTCATTTAGAAATACATTACATGGAACTCCAGGAAGGATATAAAATCATTTTACCCACAAACTGACTATTCCCACAGCTGAGAGAAGTTGGAACCTGTACTTGTACTATGGAAGGAAAGATATCAACGTGTTATATTGATGTTTATATAAAGTAACTTGGAGGAGACTTGTTCTAGTGTATCCCTGTGATACCTAGCTGCGTCTGTCTGAAGCCAGCTGATGTCAAAGATGGAGGACATCTTAAGGAACTACCATCCCTTGCTTGTACCACTGCATGAACTGCTTCTAAATTATTTTATTATCTAAAAATTTAAAATATGTCATTCATTGCACACACCTATGAATGCAAATCATTCCTCTCTATAGATGCTAGGATATATATATATATATATACACATAAATTATTTTATAAAGTCTTGTTTTAAATGTCAGTGTATCTATGATTGTAAACTATTCAATTCTTTTCCTGTTAAAATACAGATCTAAGTATTATTAAGTGGACCGCTCTCTAGTCAGTTATATCGCTATTGTAAATTCTTATTTGTTGAGTAAGATGTTTAAATACTGTATGTATTTCATGTACAAAGCTGACATATGTTATACTCATGTACATAAAATTAAAGATATTAGATTATATACTGCTCATTTTCCCAAGCAGCTACTTTGGTGTATTCAATTTCTAATCCATTCCTAAAACCGTACCATTCTGTAATTTAGCACCAAAATTCACTCTTTTTAATAGTTATGAGGGAGTGCTTCATCTGTCTACAGTTACTGTGGTATTTGAAACAGTTATTAAAACGTGTACTTGGGCATTGAGCAGGAATCAGCCATTGTGAGAGGTGAGAAAGCTATGAGACTTCTTTCAGAGGAATAGTACACCAAGCACCTTGATCAACAAATCATCCTAATGTATGTCACATTTTAAACATTTATTTTAAGTTGCAAAATTGAGATATTACACATATTTTCCATCCGCTTGAATATTAGCAGAATAGTTATTTTAGATTCTAGCTGAAGCAACTGAACAAACACCAATTAGGACTTTAGTAACAAGGCAACTCTGAATTTTGCTACTTTATAAACTCAACAATCTACTACTTTGAACTTTGCTTTTTTATGGATTTTTTTTTTTAAAAAGTAATTTGCAACATACAATTTAGACAAATAATAACTAAAACCATTCATCAGAATCTGCACAATGGGAAGTTTGGGGTAGCCTCCACAGTTTCTATTCATAAATCATGAAGTGTCATGAGCACACAAGAAAAGTCTGAAATTCGCTGTCACCTAAGACAGTATGACTTCAGGCAAATCTGTCACTTATAATCTCTCTTTCCTAGCTATAAAATTAGGTGGTGTTGCTTTGGATAAAGATAGCATTGTTTGCTACTTTCTATCATCAGAAGCTGTCTTTTGTAGAATTCCATGACTCTCAGTTATAAAGTCTTGTGACTACAAGTGGAGACAGGCATAATTTCTTCACCTGTGTCCTTGCAGGGTGGCACTACCTACAGTATGCTACCCATTCATGAGTAACACTACTATGGAGAATGGAGTTGCTATGGCTGAGGTGAAGCAGTTGATGGTCCTCAGGAAATGTGCTCTTCTCACTGAGGAGAAAATACCCCCCTTAAAAGCATATGATCCAATAACTCTGCATTAAGTTATTCAAGCAAAATTGACCATAACTGTACAAAATAGGAATGACACCTAAAAGAATTTTTTTAAATGTGAAGAATGTGTTTACCCAATGGTCATGTTAGCAACAACCTTGGAGGAAGAGACAATAAATTAACAATATTCCAGAGATACCGTATGCTCAGTTACAAATGTGGGCTTTAGAAAGAGCATTAACTTTCTCACGTTACTTTCATATGTATGATTGCAGAGAAATGTGTTAAGTAGGACTGTAGTCAATCAAAAAGTTATTGCTGCTTTTGAAGGCAACGGGCTTAACCTCAGATATTGCTTGGTGCCTAGGAAACTGGGAGCCAGGCCAAGTCAATTTAACCAAGCTTTTACTTTTCAGCCAGCTGTGATGGTGGTTTCTACAAATTCTGGTAAATACAAGAATTCTCTCATGGTCCCAGTGAAATTTGCCTTTTAAAAATTATCAGAAAATGAAATGCACCTTATGAAACTTTATCATTCATAAAGAAAAGGGGAAAATCTCTCAAAATCAAGCTCTCTAATATATTTAGATTTTAGAACAATTAAGGCAAACTAGGGACAAGAAAGAAAACTTGTTCTTAATTAACAAAAGAACTAGAAACTAGCTAATATGAAAATACAAACTTATCTACATTAAGCTCCAGGAGAGCTATATTGAGAGCAGGGCATTTACCATCCCAGGTAAGTCAGTTGAGTCTATGAGGGCAATTAGTTCACATTTAGTTCACTATCTTTACTTTTCAAATAAAAAACAAGAAATTAAAGACCAGAGAAATAAGAACAAAGTAAAAAGCTCTCATAGTTAGAGCAGCTAAGTAATGGCATTGTCCAGACTCCAAAATCCTAGCCAGAATATAATTTTCCAATTCTTGGTGTAAAAAGAAACACCATTGCACATCACTTTCAATAGAAGCAGCCTATTTGTGTTACTCATGATTTAAAAGCAATTTATTCTTCAAGACCATTTCAGACTTTCTTAAGAACTCTGTGATTATCTATAACTAGCCACTTTAAACTTGTAAGAAAAAAATTATGGTAATTTTGTCAATTTCAGGAACAGAAGATTTCTGATATGTATTTGCACACACAAAGTTGAGGTGTAATTCCATTAGCCTATTTCTTTAATAGTAAGCCCTGTTATTTTGGACTATAAAAATAAGGATTATTTTCTTGGTTAAGTTAATTTATAATCAATATCTAGATTAATTTTTAAACATGCATTCGTGTTAGTGCTGAGAAAAAGTATATATTCTGAGTTTTTGTTACTCAGAATACATTTGAAAAAATGATAATTTTGGCATCACGAATAGTCAAATGAAACCTCAATAAAAAAAAAGTCATACAGCTGAATTTTAGAGTATGAAAAAGTTTAGGAATTCTTAATGTTTTCGGGGAAGTGTTTTCACCCCTGATGAACCCACACATAAACACACTTTGGTACACAATTCAAGGTATCTGATGGGCCTAAAACCAATCCAGGATCCCTTCCAATACTTTACCAGCCCCTTTTAGAAATCATCTAGTTCTACTTTCTCACTTTACATAGGAGGAAATTGGGACCCAATTAAGACAAGAACTGGTTCCTTTACTCCCATTTACCATTCACTGGGGGCTCGGTTTTAAGCATGTCTTCACTCTAAAAAGCATGCAACAATTTACCCAGAGGATACTTCTCTATGGGCTGGCTGGCTGAAAAGCAAACAAAGATCTACCATTTAACTTGGAGAATAAGGTCATTTGGAGCATCTCCAGCCATTTCCTTCCCCACTTTGATACGGTGTGACAGAGATAAAGTCAACTAGGAACTTGCCTTTTGCTTCTCTCCCCAGGACCAAGCAGAGTGACCACTGCCAGGCATCAGCTGTCCTCCATTTGTAGCTGTCCGAAGGATCTGTGAGGCATCAGGGCCCACTCATCATTGTGTTTTCCCCAGAGAGTTCAGTGGTACAGTGTCTGGACCTTTGTTGTTGTTTTGAAAGTGGGGCATGAGAAAGAAGAGAGCAGAAAGAGGAAGCAGAGTGCAGAAAGAAATACAGTTTTATCTACTTTCTTTTTTTTAAAAGCCTTAGAGATGAGGAAAAGCTGGGGGATCTAATATAGCTGAATTTATTAAAGGTTTGGATTCTGTCTTACATGCAATTCATACTGGAAATTTTGACCTGAATCACCATCCTCTATTAAAATTGAATTCCATTGACAGACATTTTTCATTTCCTAGGAGTAGTTGATCATGCATATGGACAGGATTTCCTTTACTTCTCTTTACATTCCTCTTTCCCAACCTGGAAGAAGCAATCTTAGTATTCAAAATTTACATGGCTTTTCAGATCCACCCCTATATCTCTTTCAAAGGTATTTATAAATATTCTTTCCAAGTACTAAAGAAATAAGACTATTGATCTCCAGTACAGAAAAATAACTGTTTCAAGATTGAAGAGTTCAACACCTTGGGCATAGTGGCACAGTTATATTGTCATTATTTAGATCCCAATAGATATAAGATGGGACCAGCTATCCCATAGTGTTGGGGGAAGGACCCTGAATCCTAGCAAAAGATCCATTAGAAATGAAAACTAACAGTCAAGTACCAAAATCTATCACTGTACTAAACACAGAGGAGTACTTTCAGGAAAGAGGAAGGTTTTCTTGAACCTTGTCAGAAATGTAATGTAGACTCTGAGTCAAAGATTGACACAATCACCTCCAAGGATAAAGCCATGCCCCAAAACTCTGCAAAACTAGAGCTATTTTTTAATGAAAACGACGGTGCAAAACAGGTCTATGCAGATCAGGTCTGATTATGGATAATGAAATCCAGATGGGGCAGTTTAGAAAACACAACCATCTTACAAATAAGAGATATAATGAATGTGCTGTTTTAATTTTGAGATTGTTATAAAACTGGTATGTTTAAGAGGCAGTTTCAAAATGTTGCCACTCTCTTTTCCCATAAATACCTGCCAAGACTGATATCCAAATTACCCTGATTTGTAAGAAAGCAAATATTCATTTCTTATCTATATTTACCTTTTGGTATTATAGTCCTTCCATCTGTATAAATAGGGTAGCACAGAGTAATACAAACAATTGATTCAAGATATAGTTGACAAACTCCAAAATTTTAAATCTGACAGTGTTTTACTTCTGAGAAAAATGGTTTATAATAAACAGAACCAGGTACATTTGTCCTTAGCTGGCACAGGGGTTTGACTGTTCTGTGTCATCATTTTCTAAAATGTTCTATGACCTGCTTAATAGGACTTAACATAATAGCTATGTTCACAACACAGGCTGGAGAAGTTCCACATTGCCAGATAAACAAGCGGTTTTTCAAAGCAGCATCCTACCCCACGAACCACACGTAAATGTCTCGCAGGCTTCTGTGTTTGTCTGGGCCCATTTGTGTTCCTCTGCAAATCCTTGTAACTGAAATAATTAGATTGTTGCTTAACCTATTTCATAGTTATAACAATAGACACAGATTGCTATAAGAGCAATTTGGTAAGAGTGGCATAGTGAAGAATATAGTCATTTTATACATGAATCCTTAGCAGCATTTAATTCTTCCTTCTTTTTCTAGATGTAATAAGAATTTTAAATAAAAGAGACAAAGAAGTCCACATACATTTATTAAATAACCAAATGAAATTGAACAAGTTTTGTTATGCTGAAATGTCATTTTTAAAAACATGTTTTTAAAGAAATAAGACTCTTTCAGTTGACCATTTGTAAATGGTAGTATTGAATATCTTTTTCCTACTGAATAATGCTTGTCATTCCTCTTCAAATAAAGAGGCCAAGTTGTAAATTACGGCTTGTTGAATTTTGCCTCCTTCCAACAATTTGTGATTACTGATTCTCTTGGGTTATCCCTGGTCGATCTTCAGGTATGGAAAATGATAGCAGAGATATGAAAGCAGGGTAAGAATCACAACACTTACATTCAAAATGTATTTTGTGCAAGTCT